CCACGGCTTAAAGTCCCTCCCCGAGGACTTGTTCCCTGAATTTTTCCGCCCTTAAAAATTCCACGACCTCCGCCGGGTTTGAACCCGCGTACCTTGAGTCATGAGGTGGGAACGTTACCCCCTAGACTACGGAGGTCGCTTTGTTAGGAAGTATCTTCCAGAGCAGTTTCCTCCTCAGTGTTAAGAGAACATACAAAACGAGGTACTAATACATCCCAACATCTTCAAAGAGGGGGGCGTGGGCCCATTAGTCAAACCTGTCAGCAATAAAATCCGTGGAAAAGTAAGATACTTCATTTCAGTGATTAATGTTGAACTCACATCAGTAAATCTTTGCCGGTTAATGGGCTGCTTTTAGACACATCTATAAATTAATTTTGAAGACAAGCCAGAAAGCAAGAAATTCATTCTTGCATAAATCTTTGCCAGTTAATGGGCTGCTTTTAGACAAGTGTATAAATTAATTTTAAAGAGAAGACAGAAAACAAGAAATTCATTCTTGCATATGCTTCACGTGTTGGTTGGTCCGCGTGGGTGCAACACTTGCTCTCAAACGCTAGAACAACAAAGGCTGAGAAATAGTTCTGTCTTATGGGGTAAAACGTCGTGTAGTCCGTTGAAATTCAACTGATGTTCGGGAGGAACACGTCGCCTCCATCTTCAGGTTCGAAAAATAAGCCAAGCAAGAAAACAGCGTAACAGCAGGGGGGGGGGGGGGGGGTTATAGCACAGCAGCTCTGCTTGCCAACTGCTTCCACGCTGAAGTAGGGGGCAGCATGTTCCTCCAAAATGTCGGACTACACGGCGTAATAACGCAAATACAGAAGATAGAGAGAACTCTTCATAGCCACCGGTGTGAGAACCTCAAATCATACTACACAGGCTGAGGCTAAGGACTCGACATTAAAGGTTTCTGGACCTAAGTAGGGGAACTGACGGAAGAAAGTTGCATGGGTAACGAAGAACTTCGCAATCTGTAGTCTTCACCAAATATTGGCAGGATAACAAAACCATGGATGAGATGGAGAGAACATGTAGGATTGGGACAGATCAGAAATGTGTTTAGTTTAGTTTGAAAATTTGATGTGAAGAGACCGCTCAAAAAATCTAGGGTGACGGGAACTGTGATGGATTAATCTGGCTCAGGACAGGCTACTATACTTTTTTTTTCCCCTGGCACTACAGCACCAGTGGGCGTAGGCCTACCTCCATGAACTTCTCCGTTCATTTCGGTTTTTCTGGATCTTACACATTCGGTAGGACTCCTTGGGCGAGAGGTCGGCTCGTCGCAAGGCCTCTACCTGTACACATACACAGAAAAACGCAAACAAACATCCATGCCCTGAGTGGGATTCGAACCCACGATCCCGGTTTCCGAGCGAGTGAAAACAGTACATGCCGTAATATACTTTTGGGTTCCATAAAATGAGGTGAATTTCATGAGTAACTTAGAGATCATTAACTACTGAGGAACTCCACTCCGTACAATTAGTTTAATACAGATTTTATAAACAAGACATGACCGAAGTAAAGGTGAATACTCAGCCTGATTCCAAGGAACACGCTTGCTATGCTATAAAAATGGAAAACTATCCCTGTAACAGGCCGTGGAGGATACGGGTTTAAGAGACGTCCAGTCTCCCACATTTTCTAGACATTCGGCTCACAGATGGCGGTAAGGTTGTCAGCCTTACGCTCCGGTCGTTTTTTACCCCCCAGGAAGATTCCTGGTACTCATTTATGTCAGAGGCTGAGTCGACCCCAGGGCTAGTGCGGCTGGAAGGATTAGGTCAACTGAAAAATGAAATTACCTTCATTTCGGGATGTAAGTGGCAGTACAGGGTAATAGGGCCATGACCATTTAAAGAACGGAAGCGAATGCCGGTACCTGGGGACAGACACGTTTTCAGTACAGGTCTGACCGATATCTGAAAGGGGTCAAGGTCAAGAATTGGTATTCGTGTCGGTTACTTCGAGACTCGAAACAAGCTCAAGACATCGAAAACATGCACCTTCCGACTAATCGAGTGCAATTTCTGGTATCTCTAAACAAATTTGAGCAATGCGTGAAGCAGTGGGTAATAGTGTCCAACAGTGCGCAACTCTGATTACTGCCAAGCTAACCTAAGTGAAACTTGCACGTGCCGACATCTCTGAAGTCTACTGCGTTCTGACGTAACTTGTGGCGTACTGTCGCGGCGATGTATCTGGTGCCTGCATATATTTGCGGCTTAATAAGAAAGGCTTAGTAACGTAATTGACAACTTCTTGTACAAGGAAGATGTCGTTATTTCATACGTTGTGCCTATCTACGTTGTGTAGACCTATAACTGTATATTGTATACCGATTGGAAGAGAAAAGGTAGTATGTGGCCTTTGGTATGCGTCAAAATTAATAAATTTAGATTCGAGACGTTCTTATAGAAATGCAGATATAGCCTAACAATTACCTTATTTCTGAGACGTAAGCCTCTGTGGTCTAGCGTTCAGAGTTCCTGGTTATGGATCAGAAGTATGGGTTCGATTTTTGGCGCTACCAATTTTTCTGAGAAGTAGTGGGTCTGGAACGGGGTCCACTCAGCCTCGTGAGAATAACTGAGGAGTTTTTCAAGGAAATAGCGGCTCCGGTCTAGAAAAGAGATTAACGTCCGGGAGGATTCGTTGCGCTGACCACGCGACAACCTCTACCCGCTAAAGTTGGCACTAACATCGCCGACAAACGGCGGTCGCTCGGTCGGTCGGCCGCAATTCTGTGGGGACACTAAAGGCAGAAGCTGTACTCACCGAGGGCGACGACTCGTTGAGAGAGGAGTAACTGGAGGACCTGCTGGACAGAGGCTCGGGGCTGAGGCTGGAGAAGCTGGCCGTGGAGCTGAGACTCAGGGTGTCTGCCCTGATCCGAAACGGGCTCTGCTGCACGTGCTTTAACATCCTGCAACAAAACAACAGCAGACTTTGGTCATCTGGATGTCTGATGCTATGGTGACGGAAAGCAACACGGTACAGCGTACGGGCAACATTTCGACAGCTACAAGACTGAAAAAGGGCGTAGGTACTACATGACCAAGTGTACGACGTTCTTTTGGTAGCTGTCCCTGTGCTTAACTAATTAAGCACTACACTATGAAAGCGTATGGGGGCGTGGATTTATAGATCCACATTGTCTTGACCTCGGCACTAGCTGGAGATGAGTGGTCAGCTTCACGTCCCGGTCGCTTTACTCCCTTGGAAAGAGCCCCCGATACCCGTTCTATAGGAGGCTGGTTGGGCCACAGAGTCGGTCTGGACGACGTGGAGAAAATTCTTGACCCCACAGGGACTCAAACTCCAACCCCTCAGTCGCCAAGCACGTAGTTAGTCGTTATACTACGCCATCCCGGTGTAGTATAGTAGTGTATGGTGTATATGGTGTAGTCCCGAGTTGTGAATGCATAAGGTGCAATAAATCCAATCGTCCAATCCAAAATCCGTCTTGTAAGTCACGCGCACAACATCTACACGTGACACTACCTTAATTATAGTTCTAGACATTTTCACATATTAGTCATAATTGGTAATTACAACTTATAACCATCATCTTCGCATTTATTCTTAAGGGCCCGAAAATAAGGCCACTCATCTTTTCTTACCTTATACCGGGTTATTATTATTATTCAGGCTAATATTGTAATTTCCCCTCGTTGGTGTCTCCACCTTATCGTGGTGAAGGGGTTTGAGTATGCCAAGGACCCTGAGAGCTATACCAGCGGTAGCGTAGCTACTGGCAGGGCCTCCCTTGCTGGACAGGTCAAAGGGTAGGCATCAGACGAAGAGAGACACCAAAAACTGGTGCCGGAAGCAGCGTCATCAGCAGCGACTTGAAGCACAGAGCAAATGATGCTCGAGATGGTTCAAGTTCTTATAGCAACAGGCGTGACCAGAGTGGTTTGAACGGCTGTTGTACTGCGATGTGGAAAGCAAATGGAAAAACTACCACATTATCACTTTTCCTGGATAGTCTCTTTCCAAAAACAGAAGATCGCATTAAGNTCAGCTACATCTGTTATTACTTCCTGCATTACCGACGGCTCTGAGAAACAACCGGTCTTACATCCGTTGGAAAGCATTCCTAAGCCTCGTTCAGTCGCAACGTTCATACCGATGGACACTGAACAGCAACAAAATCTGCATATCTCTGTAAACTCCGTTCTTGGGGAAGGGGGGGGGGCATGTCATCTTATTTGCCTTAATTAAGACAAATAAGATGAATTATCTTAACAAGTTTTAGCGAGTGTAAATTTATCATAGTTGACAAATACGGACTTTTTAAATACTTTTTAAATGGTTTGTGAAAACATATGAGGGCAAGCAATGCAATAGATTGACGTAGTTGGGACACCTGATGATGGCACTGTGTTGCCGAAACATGTTGTGAAGTGACAGGTGAAATTGTGTGCACTACAGGACGGCCACTGTATACATATAATAGATGAAAATCAGTGCAACAGGGCGCTAAAATATAACATTAATAATCAGTAAGTTAGGAAATTTTTGATGTGCTACGACTATCAGGCGTGCACAGAAACAGATCAATTAATTTTTAGAGTTACGTTTAGAATTTCTGTATGCCGACAGAAGCATATCAAAGGTTCGAGGGCCATGACGTATCCCCGTGTACTATTGCGCTTAGCATGTGAACTTCATGACATGTTCCAGCCATGCATAATACATACACACTTTGCAAGTTCGATGCGCAATGTCATTACCACACATTAAGTCACACATCAAGAGGGCACGGGTTCTGTGACCCCACGGCACGACTGATGTGAGGAACAGTGAACTCTATTATTGTTTCAGAGGCGTCAGTATGATTGCAGACGCAAGGGGGGAGACACTAGACAAACGGGATGTTAGGAAGGCTGTGGAAACCAACTAATTGTCTCGGCGCCTCTGTATACGTGCGACACACGATATAACACCAGCTGCGCCTGCGTCGGGGATCCCGCGAAAACAGACGTCAGTTGTTCCCGCTTGTGTCACAACTCGGAAGGTGTGTAAACACAAACAGAAATCCCCCAAGACAAGCTGTGGGACCAATAAAGGGGAAAAGTATTCTGTTCTAGGTATGTTTACATTTAGACGGAGGAAAATTCAAAGGGCTGCTTCTCAGAAGTGAGAAACAAATGACCCTGGGCCCCAAACAAACATCACAAAGCCCGCACATTCCAACTTCCTCCGATTCACGAGCAACATCGCACCTGCCACTGCCGAATAAAGACGTGACACTGAAAGTGAACGGGCAGAATAGCGGTATAAGTTGTCCCTGTGCTTAATTAATTAAGCACCATGCCATGAGGACGCATGGGGGAGTGGAGGTACGGTACAACCATTCTTGAGCTAGGCACTAGTTGGAGGTGAGTGATCAGCTTCATGCCTCATGCCGCTGTACCCCGAAGGAAAGAGCCCCCCTACCCACTTGATAGATTAGGTGAGCCCCATAACCGGTCTTGACGTTGTGGAGTACAGCAAATTCGCTGCACCTGGCGGGAATCGAAGCCCGGCCGTCCTATCCGTAGCGCAACCTTCAAACTGAAATAGTTGGGTATGTAAATATGTACAGGCCGTGTTTACGGGCCTAGACTCTGGGATGTAAGTACGAAGTATTGTTAAGGTGTAATGAACAACTTGTTGCAGTTGCATTGTGGGAGGGATGGTGACGCACTCTAACTAAGGCTCCCTCCTATCCCAAAACCCTTTTCTGGTTTAATGTACTCGACAAAATCCACCCATAGTCTGTTTAGAAGAGGCAGGTCCAAAAAAAAAAGTATTTTTTTACTGCTAGTGGGATGGGACTAAGTTCCTTGTACTGCGGCCACTTTGGCTTATTGTACCAGCCCCAGATGATAGGTGAGGGTGATTGTGGAGCAATTGGTGGAATGAAGATTAGCAGGGGAAACCGAAGTACTCGGAGAAAACCTGCCCCAGCGCCACTTTGTCCACCACAAATCTCACTTGACCAGACCCAGGATCGAACCCGGGTCGCCGCGGTGGGAAGCCAGCGACTAACCGCTTGAGCTATGGCGCGGCCTAAGTAAGTAAATAAATAACTAAGTATGTATGTGCGTATGTACGTACGTACGTATGTGTGTGTGCGTATGTATGTATGTGAGGAAGTAACAGGAGGCTTGAGGAAATTACATAATGCAAGCTATAATACTATTACGGTGATCATATCATGGAGGATCTCCGGCATACAGAACGCAATGGAGATACGGTAATTGCGTGTACAGTTACGGTAGGGAAACCACTTGGAACGGCCTAGGTGTAGGCGGGATAATATTAAAATGCATTTTAAAGAATGAGGTGGAATAGTATGAACAAGACTTAAATTGTGTGCGATAAAGTCCAGAACAGGATCTTGAGCGTAAAGGAGTTAGCCGCCTGGCTCCGAAAGTGACGCGGCAACTCCTCAAACGACCACATAACTTCTACAGCTGAAACAAAGTAATTATGTAACCTAAGAATGAATTAAACCAAGTCTGTTCCCTTCTCGTGATCCAACTCAACTGGATACTTAGCACAGCAAGCCTTCAGTTGTACTGTTTATCCAAATAAATAATGTTCTAGGTAGAGTACTGCCACTGGGCAGCTGCCGCCTTCACGACATAAACACCCATCGCATTTACTTATTACTTGCAGTGGTCAAGTAGATTATAAATTGACGATTCAAAAAAAAATAATGTTCTTTGAAAGCGGTAAACCCCGCTCATTATTAAGATTACCCCTCTAACAGAACTGATTAGCCACCAGCTTCGTTCAGAGTTATTAGTCCGTTTTACACTGACAGAGCGATGATTTATTTATAGCTTCAATATGGGCGCCCATGGCAACAGTCTGGCGCGCCCTCCATAGTTCCACCTTTGTACAACCCTGCGACTCCCGAATATGAAGCAAAATGGCACCCACCTCTCCATAACTAATTCTACAATACAAACAAAAACGTACAGTACTGTCGTTCAGGAAGTTGCCGGAACTTCGAATCGGTAAAACTTAAACAAAATACAAAAAGGGGGAAGAGGGAAAACAGACCATGTAATATGCCGGAAGTATTCTGTCATGCACCAAAGGAAATCTGGCTCTCAAATACGGATTCCACATGCCAACAGGAAAATCGAGCTCCAAGAGAATTTCAACAGCAGTTAAAAATATATACAAATATATTAATTACATGATGAGTTCATAAAATGAAACGTGGGATACGACCTTGGTTCGATCCCGGGTCAGATCATGTGTGATTTAAGGTAGACGAACTGGCACAGGGCAGGTTTTCTCCGAAAGTTAATTTCGCACGGGACCAAACAATTTGCTGAGTCCGTGACTTGCGCACTCTTCAGCCCCTAATATGAAGGCACTACATCCATCCGAACCGCAGTACACTTCTATACGAGACTACATGGGGTAACATCCCAGACGAAAGTACATTTCATTAATATACTAAATTGGCTCAACCACTCCTGTCATAATCTAGTAAAATAAATAAACACATACGCTGTAAAATGTTCGGTTAAATAAGTTTCCACGATTTTTCTGTGTTATTATCCATAAACGTCATCTCGTCATGTTGAACGACATCTCAAGTTTATGTACATAGTTAAAGCATGGTGTGAAAAGGCAAATGAAATAATGCAGAAGCCACCGATGGCGCCATGGTTCCTTGTATGGTCCCTACAGACTGTTTATTTGGCAGGCACTCAACTTTGGTAAACTTCGAGAAGAGAAATGTGACGCACCGTGAGAAATCTACACCACATTTGGAGCTGGGGTTACGAGTTCTAACCCCTTCCCTTTTCTAGATACGTCTATATGGACGTGCATTTCTCTTCATGGCTAAAATTTAGTCAGGAAGGATATGTCTGCATCACACTTCGCTTCAATAGCAATTCAATCCTGGCT